TACGATCGAACGATTAAAGTGTCTTGTAAGTAATGTAAAATACGATACTAAAGAGCAATTGCCATTTACGTCAAAGCGTACATACATACTTTATAAATAAAAAATGACCGATATTTCGAAAACGCGTGTTGTCTTCAATCTCCACTCGAATACACAACTAGGTCGTGAGATGCTTGAAATTCTTATATTTTTAATTTGACACATTTTTTTTTTTTTTTTTTTTCTTTTTTTTTTTTGACATAACAATTGTTTTACGATCGAACGATTAAAGTGGCTTGTAAGTAATGTAAAATACGATACTAAAGAGCAATTGCCATTTTCGTCAAAGCGTACATACATACTTTATAAATAAAAAATGACCGATATTTCGAAAACGCGTGTTGTCTTCAATCCCCCCCCGAATACACAACTAGGTCGTGAGATGCTTGAAATTCTTATATTTTTAATTTGACACATTTTTTTTTTTTTTTTTTTGACAACATTAACAACAACAATTTTTCTGTGTTAGTTCCTTTCTATGCAGCGAATACTATCCATGCAGTTCCTTCGTCGTTCTCGCCAGTTTCGTTTGCACAATATTCTCGGAACCACATGCACGTATTTAGCATTTCGAATGCATCTGCGCTCAACATTTCGCTTTACCCAACAACCGTTTAGAATTTCAATCAAGTTTGGGAAATCGAACATCGAACAAAAGGATCGATCTTTGAGTAAACGAGAAGCAAAGTATTGAGCGTAGGTTCATTATAGATAAATTTTTTTTGTTTGAAAAAACGGAGAAAAAAAAAATATGATTATCGTAAAGCGTAAGCCTAGTGGTGGGTAAGTGATTTTTTTTTTTAACCTTTTTAACTCGTTTGGCTATGTGCCTTTCGACATTTTTCTCGAAAGAAATGTAAATACAGAGTGACCGATGTTTTTACGATCATTCGTTCGTTCAACCATTTACGTGATAAATAAGTACCGTTATTTGGCTTCTTGCAAACGCAAGCGTCGCATTTTTTTTCCCTATATAAGTATCACCAGGTGCAGAAAGAAACTGGACTCGCATTTCCAATTTGCACCATGTATTTTTTTACTTTTTTCTTTTTTTTTTCTTTTCTTTTTATTTTTCTCCTTCTTTTTTCGAAGACACGAACAGTATTGTAGCGCGCGATAAAGATGAAAGATATCGATATTTGTAACTGTACTCTATCGTTGCATTTCACGTTACATCACGTTTCCATTTCAACGAAGAATTGGAAAATCATTTGGAAAACGACAAAAATCTTGAAAACGTGCTAGAGATTACCCCCTTTTACGTAAAGTACACAGTGAATTTTCAGTGAATCGATTATCGTGCGCTACAAATCATTGAGGATTATTTACGAAGATAGGTGGGAAGAGAAATATTGTTCGATGAATAGAAAGCAGGAGGAGTAAAAGTGGAAAAAGAAAAACGGCAGTATATCGTGTGCGTGTCTGTTGGTTGTGCATCTTTAAGGTTATGGATCTTAATTCTGTAAAATTCCTAACGGACTAACGAGAGTCGCAAATGCTCAAGTAAGTGGTATACCCGTTTCATTTTTCGAACGAGATACGTAGATAGATTGTTAGATCTGGCATGGGAGGACGTTTCCTCGGAAAACGTAAAAAACGTTTCGATCCTTTTATCGGCTTAAACATCGAAATATACAAATAATATCGTTGCGCATAATACGTTTATGAAACGAAGCGACAAAAATAATTCAACTTTGAATCAATCGGACAAATTTACGATCATATATTCCGTCAAGTTTCATTTTATTTTCGACATTATAATTTGTATCATCGCATTAACCGTTGAATCACATCTAATGGATAAATCGTATTGTGCGTATTATTTGAATATCGTAACGTAATTATATTATACACGAAACCGGTTAATGCTAATAGTTGAATCACCATCTTCAAATATTTGCTCTTGTTTTTCAACATCGTTATTTTTTAACGAATCGAATAATAAAAAAAAAAAAAGCGTGATAAAAATTGAAGCAAAATCGAGATAATTCTCGGATCCGAGAATCGAAAGTCTCTTGCGAATTGGCGCGATCATCGAGTTACAAAGATAATCGTTCGAGAAAGCTTGTTATACAATGAAAAACTTAATGTCACTCAACCGAATGATGTATAAAGAAAGAAAGAGAAAGAAAAGGAAGGAGGAAACGCGTTATTCTTGATTCGTATCGAACATCGATGATCGAGGCGTCTTTGTCAAAGTGCGTCAAGTATGATGTCTTCGAAAAACCGATGATAACGATCTGCGCGAGCATCGTTTATTACCGTGTCGATATAAGAGGGTCTTAATAAAAATAAACGGTGCAAGTAGCGTGTGTGAGTGCCAAAGCTGTGCCACGAATTCGTCAGCATCGACGTTTAAACGCATCGAAGCACAAGATTCGAAAATTCGAATAATCAGTTTGGTCGTGTCTTCGATCTCATTTCGACTTTTTTCTCTTCTTGTTAATTAATTATTAACGATTCAAAAAGATAGCAAAATAAAAACGGAAACGGAATATAATTCGAATTTGCGAAAAATTCTCAGATCTTCGAATAACGATACAAACGTATATTTAATCTGTAATTGTGCAAAGTGAATGCAAGAATCTTGCTCTTCGAACGTTTCACGCGATCGCTGACCGTTTTTCGATCTCGTGGTAAAAGATCGTCGATATCGATTATGTGCACCGTGTGTGTGTGTGTAGTGTTGAGAATAGTGGCACGATGAACGAGTAATACATAGATTTGGGTTCACTGGGCCACAAAGGCTAGCGAGACCGAAGAGGAAGGCATTAAAAAGGACTGGTTTCCCTCGAATTTCGCGTTGCTCGTCTCTCTCTTTCGTTCGGTATATATAATACGCCACATGCTTCGATGATCCTCAGTCTCGTAACATAGAAAACGTTGGTCTATCTCTATCTCTCTCTCTCTTTCTCATTCTCGCTCTCTCGCTCGCTCGCTCGTTCGCTCACTCTCGCTCTCTCTCTCTCTCTAAACGCGTCTATCAAACACTTAAGCGACAAGAGTGAATCGCGTGCCGCTATTTAATCCGACATTATGATTTAAAGGTAAGAATTTTTTTTTTCTTTTTTTTTTTCTACGCGTATATTCTACGGATCGGTGTAAACGCCACTTTACAACAGTATAAAAAGATCGCTATAGACAAATACATAATTGTTAAAAAGACGCTGGAAAAACGAATACGAAAGGTCGACTATAGTATATATAACGCGAGTAGCATCATCCTCAGAACGATTGGTAATATCGTGCGCGACTAGTCGTGGCAGAGATGTCTTACTTTATTATCCTTTTATTTTCTCTCTCTCGGTAATTGGATATTCGACGAAGCCGCGCGCGTTATTACCAAACTATCTCGGCTCCTCACACACACCACGTTACCTATATTACCGTACTTCTAAGAAAATGTCCAAAGAGACGTGTCCGTCGATTGGTTTATTCCATTTTAAATAGCGTTTTTTATAGTTTGTTTGGTTCCCTTGTTGACGAAGGGCACGCGTTGGCCGCGGCTCTCCGAACCTATTCTTATGTCTTACTCGAATGCATAAGTATGTATATGATTTTACCATTTATTATACATATATGTATATCTAAAAAGATCGGCCGTAGATCTTGAGATCTAATTAAAAAAAAAAAAAAAGAAAAAAAAATAGAAAAGAAATTGCGAATCAAGAAGAGGATACGAAAAGGGAAAGAAAGAGAAGAGAGAGAAAAAGAAAAAAAACAAAAGAAAACGAGATAGATTTAAAACTCGACAAATAGGAAAGAAACGCAACACGAATAAGATAAAGATCGAAAAGGTGGGTTTGCGACGAGTCGAAGGAGCAGTAGAACCTTGCTTTGGTATCGAAATAATGGCGAGAGAAGTGGTTCCAGAGAACGTGGTTCTGAGAAATATCATCGATGAAAATTATTGTCCAAGTCGTTTCAAGGTACACGAGAGATTAAACGATTTTTAATCGGTTCGGGTTTCTTCTGGAAAATTTCGCGACAAGACTCGATGAAACGAAATTTCGCGATTAGAGAATATCGAAAAAGAAGAAAGAAGAGTGGATCATATTTTATTTTATCGACATTCGAAATTTCTCAACTCTTGCGCGTTAAGAAAGATGAACACTTTTTTTTTTTAGAAAATTACGCTATAGCGTATTTCCACAAATATATTATTACATACATGCTGACAATTCGACCTCAAATAATCGAATGGAAATTGGTCGACAGTCTTCGCCGCGTAAAACAGGGATAGTCGATGAAATATCTGCAGAACCACATGTCTATTGGATGTGTTCCACGTTTTTTTTAATTTTCCTTTGGAAATTGAATCCGATACTCGTCGTCGAAGCGTTTGCCCCTCGTGTCCTTGTCTCGTGTTTTTTTTTTTTTCGCCGTTTTGCGAGGAACGAGTGTATACACGGAAACGGTT